GGAATTTGATTTGATATATATTTATTTGTTTATTTGTTACAAGAATGAATAAGAATAGAGGCATTTGACTATAGTAAATGCATATGTATTAACGTTAACACTTTATATAAGGGAACACATATCAACCATTAACTAGTTGCTTATTAGCATGGATATTAGAGGCAAATTGGCTCTTTATTAGTCATTATAAAACACTTATTAATACCTTATTCTTAATGACCTTATTCTGCAACTACTCCATTGATTAACAGTTTTCCCTTAATAATCTCCTAATTACTGCTTATTGGTAAGTAAGGAAGTTGTTGTACATGAATTACAATCAAGTGCTTGGATATGTTCACTTTGTGTGTTCCCTAATATAAAGTGTTACCATAATAACAGTTCAGGGTTTGTCAGCTCTGTCAGTAAATCTCTCATGACTTCAGCAAGAGAGTTGACAAGTTGAAGTCCTTCAGCTTGTTTGTTCTTTGAAGAATTCAGGAAACAGCAGCATGTCCTTTCGAGCACTGATTTGCCTAAGAGTCTTGAGTGTGTGTGTGCATGTGTGCGTGCGTGTATACCTTCAGCACAGTGCAGGGCTCCGTGTGTGAGTACATGATGATTCCTCGGCTCTGCAGTGTTCTGATCCTCAGGCTAAGCTTCAACTCTGTCTGCAGCCGGTCAGACAGTCTATACTTGATGTAGCTGTTACCTGAGAAGCTCAGAGACGAATGACCTACACCCAGAAAAATCACATGTACATAACACAACATAAGATAGAACTATATAGGAACAATAGGACACACAACACAAAAATTACAGTACACCTGATAGTTATGATATTGAACTTACCCCTAACCCTAACCCACAGTGTTGTCAAACGAACAGCAAGTCAGCAGGTATAACGTATGTTAACATGCCACTGTAAAGACATCATCTGCTGCATGTCCTATTTTCATACATTACAGATCTGTATACAGGCTGCATGTTTGTTTGTTTTCTCCTTGACACACACACTCACACACCTGCACACTCTCCCAGTTTGCCTGGTGGACACTGGCACGCATATCGCCCTCTGGTGGCCTCAACAGAAACACATTGCATGTCTGCTGGACAAGGCTGGTCCTCACATTGTTCTGTCAGCACAGCACAGGTGGCATCTGAACACAAACATGGAGAGAGAAAAGACACAGTTATTATAACTCCAGGGGGATTATTTCATGGCGTGAAGACTTCTGGTATCTGGTATGCTGTTTAAAGGTTCTGCCGAATTTTTCTTTCAAATTATCTTTATGGGGCTCTCTGGGCCATGAATGATCTAGAGCCACGTACTGATTTTAAGTTTGAGTAACACTGTCATATAAGCAGTGTTAGTCCATAATGTTGTTTCTTTTGCCACAACGCATTATGAACACATGAAAGGGGAAATTACTCTTAATTACATGATGAATTACTACATTTAAATTGTGGAATAAATGTTTTATAACTACAATAGTTGAACCTCACCTCAACCTCAAGTGTCCTTGGGCAAGATACTGAACCCCACAAACTATTTACCATTCATGCATCTTTGTGACTTCATTTACAATATGTATGAAATCACGTCATAGATGTAACACTTTCCATTAATGCACAAAACACAATTTCATGATTATTGGTAAGCAACTGCTTCCATTACACATATTGCAATCTGATTCCAAGTTTGCATTGATGCACAACCTCAGCCAAATTACATTTAAGTGCATTTGATCAAGCCAATACATAGTCAATTGTAGTGATATTGTCAGTGTGATCAGATCTGTTTCATAAATTTTCTTCAGCTTGTCAGACCAAACGAATTCCAAGTGACAATGATGGTGCATGACATGGATCATGACACTCCTGGCTTCACACCCACCCTGCCCTGCGGTATAACACACACATATATACTACTGACTACATCAGTGTATGTGTTCATCAAGGGCATCTAAAATGCATAGTTTTTCTAAAGACTACCTCTTATGCAAAATGTTCTGTATTATTGAGCTTTTCTAGTACTGTTTTGCTATTTACACACACATTCATAAAGTGCATCTATGTGCAAACATCAATCACACACTGCTTGAGCAGCCTTCAGGGGCCGTTTGGGGCTCAGTATATTGCCCAGGGTAACATTGGCTTGCGAGATGAGAATCAACCTTCCTACTGAGCCAATTCATTTGTAGACATATGTAGACATATATGGACATAATGACATATAGTCATAAAGTGAGCTGCATAACTCATTAAGAGGATCTGCTCCAAGGCTGGAGTTTTACTTTTAAGGATGACTATACATTTCAGCCTGATCTTACACTACGCATATGAAGACAGATGGAGACTTCAGACCTCTAAGCCCTGATCACCTGCACAGATTTGGTCACTCACCACTGCATGTGCAACGTGAGGTCCGTTGAAAGCGTGGTGAGACAAAGCTGACCCGTGGCGTGCTATATGTAGCAAGGTTGTGTGAGTCCAGGATGATGTTCTGTTCACACTGTGCCCCGCGACACTCCAGCCCTGAGCAATTCTTATCAAGGATTGCTGACACTCTGAGGACCTCCTCCAGCTGCCGCCTCGATGCACTCAGTTTCTGGGTGAGGTAGGCTGCCTTGTAGTAGCCACCCGCCACTGTTTCCACGGCGAGAAGCAAGTCCAATTGTTGCGTCCCACCAACTGGTTGCAGACTGAGAAGGTGCAGCATGTCTTGCTGCTGTGATGCAGCCGCCCGTTGAAGCACCTGCAACACGCTCTTCAGGTGCAATGCCACAAAGTCTTGTGGTGCCACACTTTCAAAACGCACTGTCACTGCCTCACGCAACATCTCCGGTGTCGCCTGTTCCACGTGCACACTCACAGGAACAGGCACAGCAAAGCGGCCATCACTAACACTTGCATTAAGGTAGTACCTGCCTGCATCCAACCCACCCAGGGCAATGATTTTCCCATCCCGAGGACTGATCTTGAAGAGACTGCGCTGGGCCGGGGGTGCATGGCCAAAGGTCAGTGCATCATAAGGGTCAGCATCAGTGGCATGCAGCTGACCAATTACACCACCAGGAAACTCGTCTTCCATAGTGATAATATGAATCTCAAGTGGTAATGCCACAGGGCGGTGAAGACTCTCCTCAATTACCCTGACCGTTAGCATGGAGGAGGAGGACAAGCGAGGTTTCCCAGAGTCCTTCACCTGGGAGGAGGAAGGAGAACGTTGAGAGTGAAGAAAAGACAGATGAGCTTTACTTAAAACTTTAATTGAATTACTTTAATATTATCATAGCCTTACAATTGCTGTTATTGAAAGGAGAAGTTCGTCTTTTTTCAACCTGGTCCTTATTTCCAGCATATGGTATGTAGATCTACTCACCCATAAAGGTTTGGAGTACCTTGGAGTCCTTCAGACACTTTTAGATCCACACGCGATCAGTGTATATCCATAAAACGCAAGGGTTCTGGGCATCCACAATACAGCCTCTAAATAACGCATTATCTGCTGCAAAACTCTTTATTTACTATGAATCGCCAGCACTAGTCCCCTGTGAGTCTCGCCAGCCTCAGAGCTAGCGTGAGCTTAGCGAACCGAGAGCGAGTTGTCTCCCTGTTTAATCAACAAATCGGTTCGCTAAGCTAACACTAGCTCCGAGGCTGCTCGTTAGCATGCTGAAGTTAGCTAACCTTTAAACGGGTGAATACGCCCGAGCACCAGGACACAGCTGCTTTAAAAGAATACTGTACAGTAAAGCACCTGATAAGTATTCTGCCATGTTGCGCAAAACTAGCAGCAGCAAACTCTGTGTAAACAAGCACAGCTGAACGTCAGCTGATCTGTGGCTGTGCGCCTCGGTGACATCACCCCAGTGACAGCCCGGGATGTAAACAAAGCAACTTAGACTCACAGGGGACTAGTGCCAGCGATTCGTAGTAAATAAAGAGTTTTGCAGCAGATAATGTGTTATTTAGAGGCTGTATTGTGGATGCCCCAATCCCTTGCATTGTATGGATATACGCCGATCGCATGTGGATCTTAAAACGTCCGAAGGACTCCAAGTTACTCCACACCTTTATGGGTGAGTAGATCTACATACCATATGCTGGAAATAAGGACCAGGTTGAAAAAAACTGAACTTCTCCTTTAACCCACTCTATCATTTGCGACTCTCAATGTGTTAACAAACCAAGATCATCTCGAAATGATGCTTGATAAAGAATAAGTTTTGAATTTTCTCAGGTGCTCGATGAGAGAAATAAGACTTCTGTCAGTTTTGTTTTTATAGAAATCTCATGTCCTGAAAGGCTTCTTAAGTGAAATATTTTTAAGAACTTCAACAGCTCATTTCATCAATCAATCAATGCTTCACTGCATTATATATATATATACTGTATATATTTTTTTATTTTTTACAAAGACATTTAAGACTACGTAAATACAAATACAAAAAAAACGTTCTCATTTTGGCTCCAGCCAAACTTTGGAATGCATTTTGACTTTGGACAATGGAGTGCCACCACTACTGCTGTGCTTTTTCTAAAATAAGGTATTTTTCACAGTCAATTCCATTCAAATATGAACAAAACAATCAAACCTTATTTACAGAGATATCTTCCATTTGTCTGGACTCTACAATCTATAAATGTAACTCACAACACTATTAATATTAGAAAATAACATCACCAGCTCTGTAGGAGAAACCGCAGTTTGACTCTACCTGTATCTGAATAACATATTCAGTTGCCAGGTCTCTTCTGAAAACTTGATTGGTCACCAGTGTTCCATCCTTCTCGAGCACAAACTCTCTGCCTTCATTTCCTGACAGGATGCGGAAGTCAAAGGGTGGGCCATTGTGGGAGGAGTCCTGATCAATTACAGATAACTGTAGGATGGTGGTGCCGATTGGCTTGTTTTCCTGAGGGATAAGACACACATGCATATATCAAGTGGCATCAAAGGGCTAAATGCAATAAAAATAATAAAATGTAAATAATAAGAAAGACAACCTTTTCAAAGGAATTAAAATGTAAAAAACAGAGACAAAAGATGTTTTTAGACATGAACTTTGGAGGATGTCTGCATAATTGAGTCCAGACTTCTCCCAAGTTTGCCATTCACACATGAAAAATGCGGCAGAAATCTCTGGAGCGTTCAGGCGAGGGTTGGCACAGCATGCAGAGACAGGATGTAATGTATTAATTCTGCTGAGATCATGTTTTTGTTTACAGCACACTGACATTGGTGTCAGCCCTCAGTACCAAAAACTCATCTACGTGTATGGTACCACTACCTGAGTTATTTGTATTTTTTTATTTACTCAATTATATTTGCATCAGTCGCATGATAGAAATGCCATCAACACACTCACTTACTCGTGGTGAATGAACCCTGTGGGGAATCTCCTGCTATGTTCTCACATTGGCTCCTTTGGACATTATCCAAAATTTTTACTAGGGGGTTGGCAGGAGAAACGCTGGAGAATATCTGGAGGATGTCACTCACACATTTTCTCTCACTCAGACAGGCAGCTACTCCAGTGAATGTCCAAAGATTCTCTGGAGTAAAGTGCATGTCTCAAAAGCTATTTTCAAACATGACCTCCAGATAAAATATGGAGTTTACCCAGAGTTTGCCCTTAACACATGCACAACACAGCGGGAGGTTGTCTGCATGCAGAGATGCATTCACAACAGCAACAAATCCTCCACATTATTCAGGCAAGAGGTGGAGCAGCCGGGTGCAGCAGACAGAGGCAGGAAGTGACACATTAACTCTGCTGTCTTACAACAGAGGCAAAGTCAAAGCAAGTCGAAGGCCCTGTTCATACCTGTATTATAACCAATCTATGGTGAAAGTTTGTCATGTCACACTTGTCAACGTGTCTACAGTGACCACTTATGATTGCTGTGTTGTGTTCTTGTTCTACTCACAAATAAAGAGCTACTTAATTGCTATTTGCAAGACCCAATGTCTCTGTCTGCCTGTCTCTCTCTCTCTGTCCATGTGTGTCTGAGTGAGAGCGAGAGGGAGAGAACGATAGTGAGGCAAGGAGGGGCTAAATGCACTACACAGCATTTATAGCAAAATAAGATTTAATTGTTAATGGCCACAGATAAATAGATGTCGGTGAAACACAAAGAATTGTAGATATACTCAAATTCAAGGTTTTGGTGTTGCTTTATTGTGACCGCAACACATTTGCATCTACACTTAGAAAAGAATGTGGCCACACATGTCCCAGGTCCTGCTCACACCTGTTCTTAACATCTGTCCTGAGAGATCCGATCACGTCTGTGACCACTTGTGATTGCATCTCACTCGCCCACTCTACATACAAATACACACTTAAGTCGTTTCAGTTCACTAAGCCAAATTATGTTCTTTTTGCCCAGTTTGTGCATACAGATGTGTCTGTCTTTGTATCAGCATGAGCTAGCGAGTGAGACGGAGGTAGAGAAAAAGAGAGAGAGCGGAGTGAAGCTGCACGCAGCTCTGCTATAAAGAAAGATTACACATATTTGAAAAAAGACATCATATCAGTGTAATATTGTGCCCACATACTAATTGCTTTCCATTTCCATTTGTAATAGCAATTCAGAGTTTGCAAATCAGAGATTGAGAATAAGAGGTCCTGGTGGCAGATCATGGATCGTGATCGTGTTGGCGGCTGGTCATGAATCATGATGGTGGATCCTGATAGTAGTGGTGTATCATGATGGTGGATTGTGGATCATGGTGGCAGCAAATCATTGATTACAACAACTGTTTGACATACATTACGCCTACTCACTAACTCACCATTAATGACAATAACTCCTCAATTCATTTGTCATTGCTGCTCCCTTCATCTCTAAGACATTTTCTTATGTATAAATAGTTTAAACATTGACATACTTTTCCATTATTATTATTATGTTTCTTCTAATCAATGTCGTGTTGTAAATATTGTTATTTTGCTGATGTTCTCAGTTACACACGGCATATATTGCACTTCTGTCCTTTCTGGGAGAGGGATCCCTCACATGTGGCTCTCTCTGAGGTTTCAATGCTTTTTTTTTGTTGTGAATATGGGCTATACAAATAAAATTGAATTGATTGATCGGATTACTAAGGACAGATGAAATAACGAGATGTGAATAGGGCCTGATATTCAATTGAAAGGTGATGCAGTTCTGTGGTGCAGTCACTAAATGGAGCTAATTTCCTAAGGGTTGTTTCTTTAGTGGTGTGCTTTGATTTTCTGTTAATTTTCCGTGAAGTCACTGTGGTTTGACAGACATGGTGATCAGCTAGTTTGTCTTCCCTGCAAGTACCCAACGGTATACTTTCTTCAGTCAGTTTATGATAGCCAAGTCTTTCTTGCTTGTTCTACCAAAGTTCAGGTTTATTCTTTCATAAAAATGTATTTGGACATTATTGACACTCACTTGACTGATCACCCAGGGAAGAGCTATTAGTTTTTTTGCACTGACTCTGAAAGTATAATGTATATAAAGTATAACGCTGCTCAAACAATTTTGTTTTGCATTACAATTCTGATTAACACCATATTTCCTTTAATTAACAACCACAGATCGCTTGCAGCACATAACTAAATACCTCCAGCAAACCAGAAATTGTAGAACTCTATCATATAGTTAATTCATTGATAACTAACCCTGATCCTCCATTTGGAAATATGTAATTTTACTCAGTCCCAGAAATTCTGAGGGCAAGCTTGCAAACTGCATAATGCAAATTCAACCAAACTATTGTGGTTGAAATTGTGGTCAGCCCTAGAAATGTCTGTTAATATTCCTCTGCTGCTTCTCAGCAACTAAACACAGCCTCTTTTTTTTGAATGGTGGTTTTGTCTAAATCTAACTTCTGAGCCCTCATATTAGCTTACAACAAACTTTGGAATACATTTTAAGCAGTATGATGGCAGTGGAATTTGTATTTCATTATTTTCATTGAAATGGAAGAAGAAATCTCTCAGCGAGAATGGAGAGGGTAAATACATTTAGCCAGCTAAAATCTATGTACTGATGGGAATCTAATTGTTATATTAAGACCAATTTAAAAAACTCTTACTCAAACTGAGATCTTGTCCCATATATTATTGTCACACCAGCACCTGACAAAAACACAGTACAATATTCCCAATATTCCCCTAAACTGAACCTTAAAGGTTGGGGATACAGCATATTTCCTTGCAGCAGGTGTAATTCAGAGTATAAAAGAAATTGGGAAAAATGTAATCTCTACAGCTTGCTACCTACTGAGTAATAGCTATGGAAAATAGGGTAGTACAGTGGAAACCACATATAGTGATTACATGCATCGTGATGAAATGTTTATATAGATCCAAAAGCTTGGGACAGAATCCTGCTGATACAAATCATGTTTAAACAATCTGGTTATAGTAATTAAGTATTCCTGTACTCTGTGTATGTGTGTGTGTGTGTGTGTGTGAGAGTGTTTGTGAGTGTGTGTTTGTGTAAGAGAAAAAGGAAGAGAACAGGACAAGCTGATGAATGTGTGCTCAGTTATGAAGAAAGATTTAACTAATTAAAAAAAAGTATCAGACATTATGTGATGATCAGTGTTGATATTATGATGTAATTTCAAACAAATTATCGCTTAAACTGTGGCGGGTCAGAGACATCAGCTGAGTTACTGCATGTGTCTGTGTGTATGCGCAATGTTACCTTTCCCTTCACCACTATCAAACAGCACCTATGTAATTCGTTTATAGTAATCAACTGCTTATAGTGATCACTTTGGCCCGGTATAAACATGATCACTTAACCAGTTTGCACTGTAATACAGTAATACCCAGGAGACACTTAAATGTCCCTACAATGTCCACAATTAACTGTTTAATTTATATTGTAGTTTTGGGGCCCTCAAAAAGGCTGGAGTTAATTATAAATTGTTAGCATTATAAGTAAATCATTACTGTTGGCTAAATGACCCGACCTGTCATGAAAGCCAGACACAGTAATTGTTGAAACTCTGCTTATTACTGAATGTTGACTTTACTAACTTTAAAATTTGAATAAATGATAGTCTCTTGTCTTCTCTGTGTTGTAAGTGAGAATCATGTCAGATTTACCTGTATTACAGTAGAGAGGTTGGCCGGGGAGAAGGTGGGAGGGTTGTCATTGATGTCAGAGATGTCTATGTTGACCATCACGTTGGAGGACATGGGTGGGATTCCACTATCCAGGGCTCGGATAGCCAATGAATAGCTGGGAACCTACAGGATAAATACAATGGAAGGTTCATGAAAAACATCCACACTATGGATTTAAAAAAAAAAACCTCATCGTCATAGAGTCTGTGATATCACAGTCACTAAGTAGTTTTCTGAAAGCAGGACTGGTCACTTTGAGTTTTGTCATCATAGCAATTTGTAAAGGTAGAAAATTGAGATTGGATCAAAGTGATTGGTGTTGACCTGAAGTTGGAGGAACAGTTTATCCTCGATACCCTCATGTTCATTTCATCCAACATGTTAAAGACTGCTGGACATACAAACCCAGTAATGAGTTCACTATTATTAGAGCCTTTCCTTGAGGTGAAAATGTAGTGTGTCCTCCGGGTGGCAGTGCAGAATAAACAATAAGATATTGTTGTGATTATACCAAATTAAATGTGGCATCATTAAATGGTGTGCTTTTGGGCATTCAATAAATGTAGCTATCAGAAAAAAATATTATTTAATATTCATATTAAAAATATAAATATTCAATAATAACTAAATCAGGGCACCACCCTTCAAAGGAAGGAAAAGATAGCCAATTTATTGAATAAGTCTCATGAAATTACTGACTATAAATTTGGAACTCTGATTAATAATTAAATAAATAACTATAACCAAAATTACCACATCAATAGCTAGCAAAGTTGAAGGATATGGAGTTCTTGACAGTGTAGAGGTTGGCAAAATTCACACTTATGCAACATTAATGAAGACGTGTTTTGAAGAAAAACATTTATTTTGAGAATAATAAAAGTATAAACACACAAACTAACAAAAGGTGTACTTACTATATACAGATGTATATGTGAGTATGCATGTGTGTGTGTGACTGAGATTAAAAATGGCGGCTGGTCACTATGAAGACAAAAGGCCCCTGGGAGTGGTGAGACCATGTGGCTGAGATCACATGTATGTGTTAAGTTTGTGGAGATGAGTGTGTGAGGTGTTGGTGCCAGACAGTAGTTAAGAAGAAGAGATACTTTATTAATTATTAACCCGAAAACACAATGGGAGAGAGATGGGCAGCCCCCCAGAGCAATTGGGGGATTTGGTGCCTTGCTCAAGGAGGAGGTGATCTGGCACCTCACCAGCTACTAGTTGACTTTGGTCCATACTGGACTTGAACCAGCCACCTTCCAGTTCCCAAGCCAAGTCTCTATGGACTTAGCTACTATCTCTGGAGGAGTATGAAGGTGTTAATGATCTCATCCTTCTAGAATGAATCCTGAGCAATGGACTCGTCAAAATTGAGTATTTACTCTTTTACAGGATATTTCAAGTTTATCTGACTCTTATTTTTATATACCTCACTTGTGTATTTAGTCTCTATGTATTGTCTTCTTGGCTCAGCTTTCCAGTAAATGGTAAACAGTCTGTTTATTTTTCTATTTCTAAATCTTACATCTAAATTACATCATTTTTCTAAAGACTGCCTTTCTTATGCTAAATGGTCTGAATTATCGAGCTTTTGTAATCCTGATGACCACTCAAAGCACATTACAGTACTGTTTTCACCCATTTACACACACTTTCATACAGTGCATTTGTGCGCAGCACTCTGTCATACTCAGTACATATTTCAGCACGCTGACCAACTGGTTAGTGCCCAACCCACTCTACCTCCAGAGCCACAGCCGCCCCATAAGTGCCAGGTAATGTTGCTGTTCTGTTCCCTGGAGTTCCCTTGTGCTTGTGTTTCTGCTGTTTTTCCCTGTCTCTCTGCCAGTCAGATCCTCTCTAGGTCTATTGAGATCATATTCATTGATCTTCACTGCACCTCCCTGCTTTGGTATTTTCTGTGTGGAACCTGTATGGAACACTGCACAAAAACAAGTCTATAATTGAGATAAATATTCATAAAATAAACTTTGTTTATATGTTTACTGTTTACCTTCATTTTCTCATGTTAGAAGTTTGTCTAAGCTGATGATTTTATTTCCAAGCTGTCTGATCGCCTGACTGCAACATAATTGCTGATTTTTCTTGATAAATGTATGACAAAAAGAGTAATAAGCAGCTGAGTTATCATTGTTCTGAAACTGCACCTGACTTGAGAGGTCTGAGGGCAGAACCACACTCAGAATGTCAAGAGCCCTGAGTGGCCAAAAGTAACACTTATTTTAACACATGGATTATCAGGTACATTAGAAATGTGAAAAACTTCAGCTTAAACTGATAAACCTAGAGTTATCAGCTGAACTTCTTCTTTATTGTTCTGGTTCAATCTTACTCTGTTATATAAAGATGGTTATTGGCTGGTTCTGTTAACTCTGGGTTTCCTTATCCTGCTATGAGTGTGTTCATGTAGAGAAATCATTAATTAAAGGTACTAAAGAACTGTGACTATAGTAAAATTATAAAAATGTTTATACCAGTAGGCAAATTCAGTTATAATGAAAAATAAAAATGATAGATTAATTCAAATGAAGCTGTAATAGCTGTCCACCCACCCATCCATCTATTATCATACCAGTTATCCTTTGAGGGTCATAGGGGGAGCTGGAGCCAATCCCAGCTGACATTGGGCAAGAGTTGGGGCACACCCAGGTCACCAGCGTATCACAGAGCAGAGACTGAAGCTGCTTTCAAACGTGCATTGAACTCTCTGCAGGGGCTGTATGTGTGAACGTGTCAGAATGAGAGCCTCTGTGGACTTTCTCTGTCTGGCCCCCTAGTATGCAGAAAGTTCAGAGGAGCGAATGTGAGAATACAATAAGATATCCTTTGCAGGATTCACTGCAAGCAAGTGGGGGAGTTCATGATGTTTCTAACACACACCAGACACAAAAATTAAATAAAAAAATTATATAAATATCCCAGGATGAAAAAGCTGTGTCATACACATAGAAGATACTGACGAAGATGTCTAGAGAGTTTTCGATGATAACAGCCAACACCGGTTTCAATGGGCTGTACATGTGGGCTTTCCAAAGTGGCGTTAATACATAATACAGTACATCCTGCCTTTGCCTGATGCACTCCCCCATCTCCCCCATTTGTTGTTGAAAGCGAGAGTTTCCTGCTGCATTACTAATGTGTGAATGTAAAACTTTGGAGAAAGTCTGGACCCACTTCCTCTGGAAATCATGTCTGAAAAAAGCTATAGAGACAAACAACCATTCACACTCACATTCACACCTGCTCTGCCCTCACTGTTAGACATGCGCACAGTTAAGCAGACAGATTCTTCTAGTTTCTTTTAAGGGCGGGGTCATCCCACTCACAGGCCCCTGTAGTAAGCTCTCTTAGTAAGGCCCTGCCTCGAATGCTGACTGGGGCTGCTTAGCATAGTGGATCATACAGACTATTATTGTAGACAATACCTCTCTGCCAGTGTATGGCTTCTCCTTGGCAGACACCTGAAAGGTGAACTCATCTATGGCAACATCCCAACTTATTCCCAGACTTCATTGCAGGGATGGGAAATCGCTCCGAGGTCAAGGTCCTTTAGGCCCTTTGCCAAGTCCTCTTTGGGAAATGCTTTGATCACCTTGATGCTATTAGAGGCGATCTTGTCTTGTGCAGCCTTAAATTGGACACAGTTAGCGTTTCTTGGGCTTTCTTGAGAATGGAAATTGCCTTATCTTCAGTAGCAAATGAAGTAAGACCATCATTGACATAAAAATGTTGCTTCACATAGCATCTTGTCATCATCCTCTTGTTGTTAGGATGCTCTCCTGAGCCCATATATTGCCACAGCAGGTATGGGCTGTTCCTGAAAAACATGAACCCTCATGCGGTACTCCACTATAGGGTACTCCATGTTGGTATACCAAAGGTAGCGCAAGTAGTTTTCTGTGATCTTCTCATACCAAGAAACAATGAAACCTGTGTTTTATGTCAGCAGTGACTGCCACTTGTCATGGAACCACATGAACACGCCCAATACCAATTAAGATTGGGGGCTGTAAGAAGGACAACGTTTGGATTCGAAGAAACTGAGAAATCAATCATCACAGGAATAGACAGCACACAGGTTGTCAGTATCTCAGGGGTTGGGTCCATGTTGAAAACACCATCAAATCCATAATTTAACTTTGCCATATATCCTTTTAATAGGTAGGAATTTGTAATAATCTTGGACCTGCCATAATAATAATAAAAAATAGCAGCAGATGCTAATGAAGTATGACTCTGTCATGTCAAACAAAAAAGCTCTAAGTAGCAGATAAAAAGCCTGATGAATGGTTGAAATATTTGGCCCTTTGACCACACACGCGAATACACACTCACACACACAAACACACACAGTTCTGGCATGCTCCTCCGTCTTCCAAAAACCTGCTGCAGGATATTTTTCTGTTTCCCTTCACAGCAGCAACAAAACAGTATTCTGCTGCCAGAGATGTATGAAAAAATGTCTGTCAGTAATTAAAAACTATGACCTGCATACCAGAGAGGGAGAGGGGCAGAGGAAATAGAGAAAGATGTATAGAAATGAGTGGATGAAACGTGTAAACACACACAGACACAGCACAGGAGGTGTGAGAGAAAAGAAAGCTGCTGCTCTGTGTGTGATAACCCCAAACACACTTTCATCAGTGAAAAGCTTTGATCCCCCACACGCCCCTGCACTCTCTTTCTGAGCACGCTCAGACAGCTCATCGGCTGTTCTCATGAATACTTTATGATAGGAATATGAACATTTCTGTTTTCAAGCACTGCGAAGAAGGATATGAGGAAGAAGCAGATGATGAAGATGAGGAGTGAGAAAACTATCTAGACGAGAGAGACTGGTTCAGGCCTGCTGCAAATAACCTAAAATGCAGAGCTGCTTTGTGTTTATGTTTATCTGTTCAAGTGTGATAAGTTGCCATCAAGTCAGTGTCCATACTTTCCAAACGCAACAAGCAAGCTCCTAATGAGTTCTTCACATCAGAGATGGGCGACTATGACAGCTCACACTCTGCAGGTATCCACTAAGGCTGAGCGCTACAGCAGCTCTTTTCATACTATGGCTGTTCGTGTATGCAGGGGTCAACTAATTCTATTGTTCACTTGATGATATGTCAGTATTGGAAACATAATCATGATATATGAGGCAATAACCTACAAAAAAATAAAAAATTAGATTAGATTTTAGTGACCGTTATGACCTTGCAGATTATAACAATGCAGCTTGCAGATTGATATACAGTATGTTGAGGAATTTTTTGAAATTATCCTCACACATTACTGTATGCCACTATATACTGTATTATGTATGTATGGTGAATATTACATTGTATCTGTACACCATTAAGAGAAGAGTTCCTGAAATTCCACAGATACTCCCTTCCTTCTCTAAACAGTACACAAGGTCAGGTTATAAAGGACCGACCAACCGTGCATTGCAGTGTCTATGCTTAGGGACTTTCATATCTATGTTATCTATACTTTCAGATGCCCCAGACAGAGAGGCACCAACTTCGGGTCTCCTTGATGCATCAAGTCGAAATTATCAAGTCTATATTAAAATCTTCTGCATAAGACATCAGCTGCTGCCTGAGTTCCCTTTCACCAGCTTCCAGAAAACTTCAGTATATCATGACAATTCACAAAGCTACAAGCTAACAAGTCTTTGATCTTCGTTCACTCTGTATAGCCATTGTCTGTGTTCAAAACATCTTTTGGATCTGTTTTTGAAAGAGTGTGCATGTGTGTCTGTCCTTACTGTCTCATGGTCCAGTTGCTTGTTGACCTTGATGACCCCACTGAGTGGGTCAATGAAGAAGTGGTTGTCTCGGTCTCCACTGACAATGGAGTAGAGGATTGCTCCATTCAGCTGACTGTCCAAATCCTCTGCTAATAGCTACAAACACAGCAACACAGTAGCATGAGTGAATATATAGCAGTCATACCACTTGTTCCTTTCCTATATTAAATACAAAACATTCTATGATGAAGCATTTTTCATCCATATCGTTTTACTATTTACAAAACCATCTCCTTTGTAAAGATCAGGTTTGACTTAATCCAAACTTCTGAAACTTCTGTGGCAATCAGAATAGTCTGTGAACTCAGGCTACAATATACTCTGGCAATGAATGTAATAGTTTTAGCCATGCAAAGGCAACACTGTTTTAAATAAAACTGAAAAGGTTCAGGCATTTGAAAATAATGCAAGGACACTATCAAGGCCCCAGAGAAAACATGTAATGCTTCACTTGTTGCTTTATAAATATAGAACACTCTTGGAAATGAAGACGGTTTTATTAACTAAATGCCTTTCACAGATATAAAGGTATATTTCACTGCCCATGGACTGTTTTTATAGCAGACATTTTGACTTGTTAAAGCAAAAAACACACTTGTGGAATGAATACTATGACTGATGGCTGCATTCCATTAAGCTGAGCCAGACCCAGGGCTATGACATTATGCGTTCTCAGATGCTGACATGGTTTACTTCGAAAGTTAATGGAATGGCACAGATATTTATGTCATTATTTACATCTGTGCTTTCCCTGATAAAATATCTGCCATGAAAAGGGTATCATATAAAGTAAGTTGAAGATACTTCATCATACTTTATTATCTAGTTTCACCTAACACTGGCCATCATGATAAACTATACTATGAGACTGATTATTAACTATGGTTCTGTTATTAACAAGAAACATATTCAGAATCATGAATAAAGTATTTGATATAATACAAAAGGAAACATTTACACCTGCCAGTAAATGTGATCATGATCGATCCTCTTCGGATTGTGCATTTTTAGAGCAAATTTAACAGCCATTTGAAAAGTTCAAATCAAGGGGATTCTCGATCAATGATGAAGCGACAGAAAAAGCCACATCATACAAAATATTAAGAAATTATCCTCAAATGAAGTGAGTATGGCATGAATGAGAACAATTTTTGAAGAACTTTTTGTTACTGTATCCATCCTATGAGTCTTTTCTATCTAGGAAATACACACAATACATTTTGGATATTAACTTGATTCAAGTGTGGAGGGAACAGAATCCTGGCAAAATAGAATTCTCTTGTCATCCAAGTAAAGGCAAATCTCATTCATGTATTGATTAGTTTCTGATAGTGATTAGCGATCTAGAACTATTGAGTATTAATATAGAGAAATTGTTTCAGTTGCTACAATTGGTTACAGAACCCAAACATTGCTATATGTATGTAAACTTGACAGTTATTTTTTTTTTTAATACAGAACCATCTAATGCCTGGTGAAGCATTCAAAGCTTTCTGTCAAACAATTGCCAGGATCAAACAAAAGTTACATGGAAAAGTAGAAATAGATCTCAAGCATGACAACTTCTTTTGTAATGTTATCTAATTAAACCTCTTAAGGAAATCTAACTTTAGAAAGAAATAAAAGTTTTAGAGAGTTTTATGAATCAGAAACTGTGTTTATTGCCAAATAGGTTGGATCCTGAACTGGACTGTGGTGGTAGCTATTATTGCTGCTCCATTCATCTTTATCAGATGTTTTCTTATGTATAAATACTTCAAACACACACTTATAAATCATGTTTCAAACTGTTTCTTCTTATTTTGTTCAGTTACATGTGGCATCTATTGCACTTCTATCCATCCTGGGAGAGGGATCCATCAAATGTGGCAGTTTCTAGGTTTTTTTTTAGGGTTTTTGGGTAGTTTTTTCTTACTCTTGTTGACGGTTAAGGACAGAAGATGTCACACCCTGTTAAGCCCTATGACACTAATTGTAATTCAGTCAGGAACACTATGTCATGATTTACCCATTTGTTGCGAATGGGGATACAGTTATGATTGGCACTGAAGGCTCCTTTCCTTGGATGTTCCCTGGATTACACAAGCAGCGTGCTAAGATAAAACAGCGAACATGTGCAGAACACCAAAACAATGAAACCCCAACACCAACATCAAGCTAGAATGATGATGTCTGTGTAGCAACAAGCATAAAGCAAATCTGAAATTGTTGTCTAAGGAATGCAGGCATGCACCCTGTGAAAGGGTATACTACTAATAAATGACGAAAGTAGGTGCTCTGAAATGATCAAAAGAATGCAGGCATGTATTCTACGAGAGGTCATACTGATGATAAGTAAAACTTCTGTGTGCAGCATGCATGCTGCAGACCTCTAAATTTACTTAAGAAAGAATGCAGGCGTGCATTCCACGAGAGACTATACTACTGTTATGTGAAATAACTATGTGTAGCAGCAAGCATCCTTCAAACCTCTAAAACTATTGACTAAAGAATGTAGGCATGCGTTCTGTAAGAGAACATACTACTGTTATGTGAAATAACTATGTGTAGCAGCAAACATGCTGCAGACCTCTAAAATTATCAATCAAGGAATGTGGGTATGCATTCTGTGAGAGAACATACTACCATTATATGAGTTAGCTAAGTATAGCAGCGCATGCTGCAGACATCTAAAATTATTATTAAAGAATGCAGGCATGCGTTCTTCGAGAAGTTGTACTACGGTTATGTGGAATATCCGTGTGTGAAAGATTTGCTGTTCAGTTATTAGCACTCATGGTCATTTTAGCTGAGATTTGAACAGAGAACATTAAGCAAGGTTGCTTTGTTTTCACAGAACTAATTTGTTTCTTTGACCAGATTTGCCTCAGAGATGCGAGCAACGATAATAGGATACAATTCTAACGAGCAGTGGGTTGACGTAAGAGGGAGGATCAAGCAGTTCTTTGGCCAAAATCGCTCATTATTGTAGATCCCCCAAAACTGATGGAGGGAGCAGCATCAGTAAAGAATCTGATGGCAACTGATGTCGTTGTTGAAGAGAGAAAAAAAGAAATATATAAATGTATGTTGTATATATGTATGTACATATATATGCTGTTCTGCTTTACACACGGCAGTGAAAATTTGATTTATTCTGGATCAAATCTACGTTCTTCTACAAAATTATGCAGTTTATCCATGATTTGTCGGAGGTCCAATAATCTAGAGATAAGTGATCTAACTTGGGGAATGATATGCATGGCGAAATTGAAATTAGCCAATTAAAACAAATTTCCATTTTGGTAATGGATGCTGTATCCGGCACACTTTTCGTGGCTTCTCTAATTCACATTGGGTTTTGTAGAGGTAGTGATGCTTGCATAAGGTCGCTGTCTTAATACCTGAGCCTAAGACTATCTTTTTTAAAGAGCCTTGAGTTTTCTTTTCTGAGAATGGGACACTTAACAGCTTAAAAACATTTTGTTATTGCGTTAATGCATCTATTTGGCTGGGACTGAGGATAATCAAATACTAGGAAATAGTTGGGTAGGTGAATGATGGGGGCTGACAGATATATAATCTTTTTAATTTATTTATTTATACATTTTACTTTAACCTGAGTATTTCTGTGTTGCAGTGCCGATTATGGCCCTTCTCCATCTGCTTAGACAGTAACTTGTCGATTTTATTTATTTTTATAGCTGATTATTATGGGCGTGTAATACTTTTGGCAGAATGCTTGAACTGCCAAAAACCTTGGACCGAACCAGTCATTAAATAATTACAAAATGTGGTTTGAGGGCTTTTTAGAGCTTTACCAAGCTCTGATACATTACACACTTATATTTTGAGAATGTGCGCGATGGCACGCAGCCTGGAGAAGCTGTCTCCGCAATACTGCACGCGTTTGAATACAAAACTGAAGAGACACTGCAGCAGCAGGTGGGAAGAATGAGACTCCCGATGAAGTTGTAGGAACTGCAGTTCCCAGAATTATTTGCGGCGTGACGTTGATTAGGAGTGCGCTACCGGCCATGCTCACGGCAAAAACAACAGACGCCCTGGATGCGGTGTTGAAGTTTATGGAGAGTTGTCTTGGAGCAGGCGTGGGTGGCAGTGTAGCTGAGCAGGGATCAGTGAGGATGAGGTCAGATTTAAAGGGACCGCTTTGGTGAGAGAATAGACTGTGGTGGGTGGCTGACGAGCACCCGTAACATATCGGTAGCTGACAGCTGAGCACATGACTCCGTGTCCTGCATGAACTAACGCGATGCTTCATTTTGTGAATATTGGCTATAGAAAAAAAATTTGAATTTTGAAATTTGAAGGTTTACACAAATAAGGAATTTGATGTTGTGTGTTCTTTGCAAGCATAAATGTAACAAATATAAAAGATATTAAAATATTATTTAAATCCTCAGAAGGGACCCTTCAATCCCAGACCCTGACAGAAGATGCACAGGAGATTAGATAGAGGTTTATTATGGGATGCAGGCTATCAAAATTATTGCCAATGTAAAGTACCATGTCCTGACGTCTTACCGATTGAATTTAACAAGAAATTACAAGAAAATTACTCATTATATTCTTGAATGTCAAAATGGCTATGTGGAAGAAGTTTATCGATTTCATAAAATTACAGGAGCAAAGCTGTATCTATACTCAAAATACCCAAAATCAAAACAAACAAAAAATGACAGAAAATCCTTTCCTCAAAAAATAGTATTGACATTCAGTATAAAACATATCAGTATATCAAAGATCACAATTCTTGCTTCTCTCCTTTGGCAAAAACTCTGGGCAAAGAGAGGTGGACATGTGTGGCAACATGGTCAAATGTCTTTAGTGGAGGCAGTTTTGATGTCATAATAAGGAGGCAACCATTGGTAGGCTTGAGGCATTGAGAATTATCATTTGAGAGGACATATAAAGGGGTAGTTCATCCCAAAATTTTAATTCACTTATTATCTACTCAGTACTATGCTGGTGGAGGGGTGGGTGAAATGTTTCAGTCGAACAAAAAAAAACATAAGAAAACCATAAAATGCCTCCTCCTAGTTACTGCTGTGGTAACTGCATCTATCGCGAGTTCTCGTGAGATCACAGCGGACAATTAGGCTAAATAAATGGTGTAAAACACGATGTTACAACAAATTTGAATGTCAGGGCTAATGGACACTTGGATGACACCACAGAAGCAGTATAGAGGCATTCCATGTTTTTTTTTTTCATGTTGTTTTTGTACATTTGAAGAAGTTGTTTGCCATTAACTTCAATTGTACTGGATTTGGCTGCAACACTGTTTACCACTTCCCCCATCCCTCTATCTGCATAGTGGTGAGTAGATAATGAGTGAAGGAGATGACACTTGTATTGTACTGGAGAGACTTACATAATTAGATGAGTGTTTTTGAAATGAATTGCTCTAGGTTTTTCTTATTTTGTTGCTTGTTTTATTTTTTGTTTCCTATCGTCTTCCTATTTTGATTTAATGTTGTGCAACACATCTGGAACACTTTCAGCCTCAGGTCTTCCATACAAGCAGGGAAATTTTTACTCTGTTGCTGTGCTTACCTGGAATACAGATTGTCCAATGTTGGCATCCTCTGACACCACTGCACTGTAGACGTCATGGCTAAACATGGGTGCATTATCGTTGACATCCGTCAGGTTTATGTTCACTGTAGAAATTGCACTGAGTGGTGGTCTGCCACCATCACGAGCTTCCACAGTCAGGAAGTAGTCCCTGCACGTCTCATAATCCAGAGTTTGGGCAATTAGAATGGCACCTGAGGAAAATGAGGAGTAAGGGGAAATAGAAATATACATTTGATTATATGTAAAGAGTACAGTTTAAATTGGTGGTGGTAAAAAAAATGTTTTGTAAAGTTGTACTGTCGAATAGAAATCCCACCCAACTCTTGTTTGTTGCTATTACTGATGATCACCAGTGCATAATTGGTCAAGGTCATTTAGGTTAGAATTGCATTCTATTTTTGCTTACTGATGTGATATGTGTGATTATGACAAATATTTGGGCATAGTAGTGCAAGTGCTAGTTCAGACACTGAGTTTAGCAACAAATCTCTTTCTTATAAGCAAGGAGAGGTATAAAAGCATTCCAGTCAGCAATAATGTATATGAAAAGTTCCAGTCTGGTTTTAAACCTCGTCATCAGAATCAGAATCAGAAAAGCTTTTATTGCCAAGTAARTTTRCACATACATGGAATTTGTTTTGATGTTGTWGGTGCATGTCAGACATCTCTAAATATAACAAGATACAAAAAATCAAGTGTTAAAATTTAAAAATATAAATATAAAAATAGTAACAGTATGTTTTTTGAAGGTAAAAAATGAGAAATAAGAAGAGCAGTACAGCTGAGTAAGTATAGTGTTCACAGTATGCAGAGTATTTCCAATATAAGTATATAGCTGAGCGTTAATGTAACGCATAGAGTAGAGAATGCAGTGTCAATGTGACATATGGAAGCAGAGGTGGAGTGTGAAAGAGTGTCAGGCACTGACATAGCACTGAAACAGCTCTTTTAAGAGTGTTTAATGATCTGATTAAAATGTTGATTCAGGCGACTCTGCTGTCCTTGTGCTTTCAACAGTGTCGATCACTCAGTCCTGTTGTCCCGTTTTCACACTAAGTTAGAGAGCTGACATCAGCCACTCAGCTGCTCCTGGACTTGCCTAACCAGAGGTGATCGAGCCTTTGCAGTACCCAAACTTGTGGATGAGCTTACCACTCAATATTAGATCTGCCCATGCTCTAGCACACTTCAAATCATTGTTAAGAACACATCTGAGAATGTTTTTATCCCAGCAGATTATATTTTATTGTATATTTTATCTAAATTTAAATTATTATTTTATTTTTATTACTGGTATTCTGATGTATTGCATGTTGCTGTCCTCCTGCTGTACCTAATACTACCACTTTGTTTTAAATGTGCTATATGAATAAAACTGACATTGACATTAAGTCATATTACATCTGATTTGGGCTCCACTAGGACCTGAGAAAAATATTTGGCTCTAAGAGTCATTTAATTTGTTATAAAAATATGCTAATTAGTACTACTTTGAAGTTAGTATATTTTTGCAACTCGTTGTAGTATTAGATAGGACAGAAATTGAGATTAACACAGCATCATAGTGAAAGTGACTAAGGGGTTGGGATCAGTAATAGTTCTATAACTATTACTGATGTTCCATGCCGAGTATGGCTAACCAGTTCTTTTAACCATGAGATACCTGTGTCAATGGAGCTCATTAGTCAGTGGGCAACATATTTCATTCCCCACTGTACAGCTTGGAGTGTTCATGTGCGCAACAATACAACTGGAACTTGTTAAAATGTAAATGAAGTGTGAATAAAATGTTGACAAGTGAAGAAATGTGCTTAGCACTCTCACCGGTCAGTGGGTGGATGTGGAACTTCCCATGCTCGTTTCCTGATCGGATACTGTAGGTGATCTCAGCATTGGTTCCGATGTCCTTGCTTGCAGCATGAACTCTCAGAACTTCGGTGCCCACTCCCACATCTTCTGGCACTGTTGCCATCTGGTCTCGGCGCTCAAAAACAGGCGGGTTGTCATTGATGTCAAGCACAGTGATCGTCACATTGACCAATGAAGAGAGAGGCAGTGGTGAACCCTGGTCTGAAGCAAGGACTGTTATCTGATAAGCCGACTGGACCTCGCGGTCAAGAACACGTTCCAGGACAACGATGCCAGAGGATTTATCGATGGAGAATGAGCCTCCAGCAGAGTCAGCCAGAGAATAGGCCACCATCCGGCCTGGACCTGCTGCACAGCCACAGGAAAAACAGCAGAGGTTTAAAGGCATTGTCATTGACCTCTGTCTCCCAATAATGGTTTCTGACAAATTTTTTGAATAGTTTCACAATCACATCTTATTTTCAGAAATTGGTCAGTTGTGTGAAGAGCAGGCAGGACGTTTGAGGACTTCCACAGTCTCATCTTTAGAACTTAAATGTGGTTTCATAACTAGACTGTTGGGCTTTGGTGGAGATTTGCGATTGTATTTGTAGATTGCATTTACTGTATTAAAGGTTTCTTAAAAATAAAATAGTGTATCCTTTCAATCATGACCTGAAAGAGTGGTGACAATGCCAGTAATTGCAACAATAGTAATAGTTGCATCACCTTCATCAGGGTCAATAGCCTGGATACGGGTGAGCAGGGCTTTGGTGGCAGTGTCTTCATAGATGCTGGCAGTGTAATGTGACAGGGTGAAGATTGGGGGGTTGTCGTTCACATCAGTGACTACCAGCTGCACCTCAGAACGACACCATTTCCCACCACCATCAGTTGCCTGGGCAACCAGGTGATAGCTGGCTGTCATCTCACGGTCCAGAGTCACAGATGACTTGACCTCACCTGGTCAGATGAGAAATGGCATGTGAAGCATTGAGAGATGGAAGGAAAGAGTTGGACATGACAATGTGTCACACAAGTTTTTAAGTAGCCACATAAATAAATGTATCTTTAACTGTGTAAGCAGAGTGATAAGATGGAGACCTGGTATTGTTCCTCTCCTGCATCTCACTCTATACGGGACTGATCATTGTAACAAATTATGAAAGTTTAGTAAAATACCAGTGTCTGGGTCCATGCTGAAATCCTGGAAGCCAGGACCATGTAAGGAGTACTGGATCCAGGCACTGACGCCCACATCCGCATCTGTAGCTCCAACCCTCAGCAGCACACTGTTGACTGGGAGGTCCTCTGGAATTGAAGCAGTGTACACAACCTAGACATGCGCACACACATACACACACACACACATCCAGACATACACATTCATACACAGCAAAGAAAAAAAGAGAGGCACTCTATGGAATAAAATGTCGCTGAATTTTCTGAAGCGTTGCCAGTAGATGAATTTACAGTTAATAAAATCACAAACAACGTATCCACAAATATCTGCCGTTTGCAATAGACTTAAACCATTATCATATGGTTTTATTTCTCACCTGGTCACAGATGGGGTTGTTGTCATTGGTGTCTATCACTGTAATTTCCAAGGTTGCTTGGGAAACAAAAAGTCCATCGCTTGCAGTGACATTGATGATGTAGAGGTTGCGCTCCTCCCTGTCTAGCAACCCCTTCACATACATCTTCCATTCACCCTGAACCAAGCCCAGCGCGAACACACCCCGATAGTTCCCACCTTAAAACAAAGACAGATATCCAGGTCAAAAAAATATTTTTAGACATGTAAGCTAACATGGAGTTTGTAAGTGATAACGATTTGTAGCACAAAAACAGTTTAAATGTCACATCACATCACACCACAAGACATCTCGTACTTTAGATCTGACTTTAAAGTCAGGGTAGATGAAGTCCCACTTTGAGTGGCGTTCCATTGTACTTTTTATAGTAGCAGCTTGGAAATCTCGACTTTTGTTTGTCTGAAACGCAATCGGGAAATTGCAAGTCAGACATTTCCAACTTCCAAATACGAAATGTAGCATATGGGGGAAAAAACGGTTATGGGTGATGCCTACTTGGGGCGTGTCGAATTACCAAGTCATAAATTTACATTGAACATTTTACATTGCTCAAAAAAATTAAGGGAACAATTAAATCACATTTCAGACCTTGATGAACCAATTTTTCAAATTAAAGGTTCAGTATGTAGAATGTAGGGACATCTAGTGTAGATAGATAGATAAATTACTTTATTCATCCCCGGAGGGAAATTAAGTCGTCATAGCAGCTCGTGTATCAGAACACAACAGAACACAATGCAATAGAACAAAACAAAACATTGAGGTAAAAAGAACAAAAACAGAAACACAAGATGAATAGGCAGACAAGTAGTGCAGTGGCAATATGATGGTAATAGTAATGATGATATGATGGTAATGTTATT